TGTAAATGTGTTAATATAATTGTGATGAATCACTCATCAGAAATACTCATTAAAATAGTGTTATACTATTAAGTTCCTAAAATTAAAGAATATATACTGTCAGATTTTTATACTTTTGCATTTCTAAAACAAATTCAACAAAATAGAATAAGAAAATTTTACATAAACGTTATAATGAAAAATGGAGTGAAAAATGGAATAAAGGATATAGCTTTATTCCTATAATATTCCTCTACAGAATTTAAGTTTATTCCTAAAATTAAAAAATTATATAAGTTGTATAATTTCATAATTTCCTGGACAATTTTTGCTTTCATGAGATGTAATTTATAAACAGTATTGTGACAATATTAGATCTAATAATTATGACGAGATAAAAAGAAAGGAAAGGAGGAGAAGAAGACATATAAAAACATTGAGAAGAGAAAAAGGACATGATGCATAGAATGAAGTTGAATGTCCAAAGAAAGGGAGAACGAATAAAATGTATGATGTAAGTCATTTGTTAGACAGGAGTCTTGCGATACGCATGACTCCCCACAGCGTTTATATATTATTTTTAAGTTGATCATGTTATAGCGTATCTTTATATTATATTTGAGTACACTCAAAAATGATCCGAAACAAGGGTTGAAATGTTGTGTGAAATAAATAAAACTTTTGCCAGTCAGATCAATGCTTAAATTATTTATTTGTTTTAAATATTATTTATTTTATCTTTTATCACTTTATTTGGTAAGTTGATTTCATATTTTACTTTTTTTCTTCCCAATTACTTTATAACTATATTTAATAATTATCTTATAATAATTTAAGAAAACGGTGCTAAAAATGTCGCAACACCCACGCAAATATCTGAGCGGAAGTCGGAAGAGAAAATTGAAGGAACAAAAAGAAATAGAAATAGCAAAATGTCAAAAACTTTCAAATTTTTTTTCATGCATACTTTCTACTTCAGCTTCTCAGAATAAAGCAGAAAAAGAAGAATGTAAAAATAACGAAGAAATTAATGAGTATACCGATCAAATTATTAAAATAAGAGTACGGAAGACAAAATCCATAATATAATTGAAAAGGTAGAAAACTGTGATAAATATACAGATTTAGCGTCGTTTTTACGGCAGTAGACTATTTTTTATTAATTCAAAGCAGAAGCTTCTTTGCGATGTCCAATACCGCACAACAAACAGGAAATGTTCAGCAAGCCCAGGCAACTCGGAATACCGCTGGAGTCCGGCGATGGCAACGGGATAACCAGAGGCAGCAGGAACACGTACTGAAACAAGACTGGAAAAGGGGTCGCGACTAGATCTCGCAGGCTCAAGTCGAAGCCAACTTTCAGCCCAAGAGTCCACAACCGAATCCCGGTCGTCAACAGAGGAACAGAAAGCGTGCAGTTGCATGGAAGAAGGCTACTACTGCCTCGTCACAAGTCCCTGTGCAGCAGGATCTATCACAATACCGATCGAGTAAAGAGACTGGAGGTAAAGACGAACCTCTTTACGATTTCGTGTCTGGCTCTCGGCCTGTGAAAAGGATCTACTCACATAATTTGGACTTTTCGGGGTTTCCATTGCTCTGTGAAGTAGTGTATAGGGAGTTAAAACAGACAAATCCGAGATTGAAGCGCGAAATGCCATTTTGCGCCTTTCTCTATGCGATGATGTCATGCCTTCAGGCTTGGCTATTCCGCACAGTGACCGTAAACAGTGAGGACTGATATAGTGACGAGAGGGATGCAATGTCCCTAGTGCCGAGCGAAATGTTGGTTCCACAGCCAATCGCTGAGTATCTCGCATTGGTTAACACAGTAACCCCATCGGGTGACACCGTTCGGGTTAACCTGGCAGATGCAGTTATGCCACAACATTCATCTGAAACGTTGCCCCCCGGTAGTTTCGGACCCGTGGACGCCGCTAACCATAATGCGTACGAGTGCTACGTATCCCCAATGGTTACTCGGAACTTTCTGATAGCTAGCAGGGAACAAAACGCAGCTTACGCCCCAATACCACCAGGGAATTTTCCTGAAGGGGCCGTGCTGACGCAAAACCTTCTTGGCTACTATCCAGCTGAGAATTTGACATCAGAAAAGCGTGCAGCCCTAGACATGTACAACTTCCCCGATTCAGACGACATGGCAGGTAGATTACAACTAGTCCCCGTCTTAATGCAAGACGTGAGCAATACCATAAAGATTTAGCATTATGGCCTGATTCAATTAATAAAAAATTCATCAATAACTGTCTTTCAAAAGAAGCATCGTTCTTTCAAAATAGAAAGTAAGATAACTTTTATTTTTAAAGTGTAAGACAGGCAATAAGAGCCAAATCGCGGATGACAGTGCGTCATCCCAACAAAACTAAAACTTTTCCGTTAGAATCAAATACTTGTGCACACACAAAATTTTACTTGGTCACGGCCAAGATTTAAAATTAGAATAATTCTCTATTATCTCTACAAGATAAATTTCTACAAGAGATTTAATTCCATACATCCCCTGTTCCCCCCTAAGGAAATAAATGCGAGAGAAAAATATAGATCCGAAAGTCGCTGAATCGGGAATCGAACCCGAGACCTTTCGCTTGCCGGTATTTGCCGGTAATTGTAAATTGTAACCCCAAGGGGAACAAATAAATGGTACTACTATACTACTATTACAATGTCCTAATGCGTGTTGTATAATTAAATTTCTAAGTGAAAGAGGATTGCCATTGAGAGGCCACAATGAAAAGTGGGGATCTCCACACAATGGTAATTTTATGAGACTCGTAGAATTAATTGCAGAATTTGATCCTTTTTTACGAGAGCACATCGTAAAATGCCAATCTCAGCAAAATAAAATTTTAAGTTATCTGTCAAAACTGTTTATAAGGAAATAATTGAAATAATGAGAAAACAAGTTCTAAGAGAAATTGTTAATAATATTAATGAAGAAGACATTAAATATTAAATATTATTATTCAGTCATTGCTATTTCGATAACAGATCCCAGCCAGAAATGATTTGTCGAATCGACGTCTATACGTCGATAAATGGTCGATGGTCGAATACTGGTCAATATATTCATCATGTTCGACTTCATCATAAAAATTCTTTTTATATATAATTGAACAATGCAAATATTTCTATAAGATTATTTTTATTGTCTTTTAATCAATTTTATAAGAATTAAATGATTGGTCGAATCGACGTCGATTTGATGTCGATTCGACCAATTATTTTAGAAATTTAAAATGTGAAAAAATCTTATATATATTATATTATATATATTATATTATATTATATTATATTATATTATATATATATATATTTTATTATATATATTAATTCATATAAATTCTTATAATATTGAATGAAAGACAAAAATAATCTGACAGAAATATTTGCAAGTGATTAATTAAAAAATTTTTATGAGGTCGCAAAAAATACTATATATAAGATTATTTTTATTGTCTTTTAGTTATTTCATAAGAATTTATAAAATATGACTTTTCTTCACATTTTAAATTTCTAAAATTTTTTTACATCGAAAAGGATACTTAACGATAAATTTATAATAATAAGAATAATAAATAACGTCTTTTTCTAAGGGAAAAAGTAGACTATAGATTATTTATTATTTTTTTTTTATTATTATATATCATTGCTATAATAAATGTATTCCTTTTGATCGATGAACTGCGCGCGCGGATTAATTATTATCGATGTAAAAAATCGATAAAGGCTATTTACTAAATAGAACTGCGAATTGTTACTATATATATATATATATATATATATATATATAGATGATATACATATATATGTATCGGGAGCCGTTTTTATGCGGCATTACTGAACGCGTTGAAACGCGCCTTTATCATATCTTTCAAATGTTTTATACCGTCGGTCACTTCTAACCGTGCGGTGAACAGATCGACGAAACAGACCGACATTTTGTGAAGCAAAAGATTATTATTGTGTAAAGGATTATGTAAAGAAGCAAAGGATTGTAATAAAATTACGTCGATTTGTATTGCAATAATGCAAAATTGTGAGCAGAAATCTGTAAGTAATCAAATTTTATTCAGTGCAATACTATTTTTTATTTGTTTTGAAATTCGATGCAATGTATATAATAACCTGATAATGATGAATAATTCTCATTATTATTAACATGATGTATTTTATGATTCAAGTTATGAATATTATAAATTGTTATACTTGAAAAGATATTTTGATTTTTAATGTGAGTACATGCATCAAAGCTTGTGATATAGTATTTTTCAGAAAGTTTATTATTTATGCACAATGGAAAAGGTTAAATGATAATAAATTAATAGAATAAATTATATATTGTATGGATAAAAGTTAGTTTTGTTTATCTGATAAAAAAATAAGTTACAATTATATAAAATTATCTATTATATATATATATATATAAATGTTAATACATTTTTTTTATTGGCGTTTTCCAATAAACGACACAAATAATGACTATGACACGCTGTTTTGCTATTTATTAATCAGATTTTTCAATCTAAAATAAAAATTCGATAATTTAAGCTGAAATAGATATTTTAGATTGAAAAATCTTATTAATATAATGTAAATGGCAAAACTGCGTGTCATAGTCATCTGTGTCGTTTTGTTGGAAAACGCTAATAAAATAAAATTTATTAAATATAATTAAAATATCTAATAAAATACATAATAAATAGCTATTAAAAACAAAATTTTTGTTATTTTATTAAAAAATTAAATAAGATATTAAATTAAAAAGTTTTTTTAAATTATGACATTTTAATTTAATAGAAATATTTTACTAATTAAAATTTTTTAAATTAAAAATTAACTTTTGATTTAACTTAATAAGTTAATCTTATTATATATATATATATATATATATATATATATATATATATAAACGTAACTAAATTAATTTTATAAGCCTTACTTACTATAACTTTAACTTATTAACTTTTATTAGTTTAAAATAATGATTAACTAAACTAACCCTGATACTAAGCTTATCTTGTTTTCTGATTCGTTTCTTTGTATCACATGCTTTCTGTTTTATTATAAATATTTCATTGCAGTAATGAAATGATTTAACATATTTTTTTTTCTTCATTGTTTATTGATATAGATTGTTTCGTTAGGCAAACGGAATTTTAAGAGAAGAGCAGAACGATTAGTAATAAAAAGATTTAGACAAGAAAAAGAGGAACAATTTATGAGATCTAGAATTATTTCCAAAGTTATGTCCAGAAGAAATAACAATAATAGTGATAGTAGTAATTCTTCTTCACTTGTCGATATCAATATTCTATTTTCTGATGATGATGATTCTGATGACTTTTTTGATCGACAGAACCAACATGCTCAACTAAGTGGAGCAAATAACAATAATGAGTTTATTATTCCGATGAATGTGCCCACACAATTTCATTTAAATGAGGCAGACAGCAATGAAGAATTTGAAATGAATGATGGAGAATCTCACTTCGAAGTTGAAGATAGACTTGATAGAGAATCTGGTAATGAAAGTGATAGCGAAACTGCAGCTGAAGGAAATGAGAGTGTTGCAGTTTGATAATAATATTGCAACAGAAAATTTTATTCTTACAACAATCAAAGAATGGAAGTGATTATAGGTAAATACACATATTGCCTTATAAATTTTATTTATGTGTTTTTATAACAGGAGTAAGATACTTTTCCCTCAAATATTTCTTACTTGTGTCTAATAAATTTACTCAAGACATTATTTCATTTCTAGGTGCAATTCATGACAAGAGACCCAATGTATCTGTTGCGGATTTATCATTATATGCAGGACAATGGTTAAAGAATGCTCCATATAGAAAACAAGATGATGGAAGTTACGGAAGACGTGATAAAAAGTTTAAAGAAGCAGATGAGCACTTATCTTCATAAGCATTTATCCATATTTTATTTTGTTTGGCAAACATGCATTCAATATAGTTCAATATAGTTTATGTTTACAGTTTTATGTTCACACATATATATTTATAATAAACAGCATAATAATAAACTTGAAATTTGTGAGAAGTTATTCATTAACTTTCTTTTATAATGTTTTTTTCTTTTTTAGTTTAATATATATATATATATATATATATATATATATATATATATATTATGTTTGCATGTTTCTATCTTATTTCAGTATATTTCTTAAATCAGTCATTTTCTTTCTCATGATGCGCTTTATTTTAGAAAAGATAAAAAACAAAAAATATTTTAAATATAGATGGGCTATGAGATGCGTACCTGGCGGGCGTACATGGATGTTAGGCGCGTTATACCGAAATTTAAAGTTTTTGATATTACTTCGATAAGAAAATATTTCTCAAATAGTTATTGTAAAATACAGTATAAAAAAAATAATTGCTGTTTATACACAAATATCGACGTCGAATTGACGTCAAATCGACTTGTCAATGACTGGTCGAAATTTAAGCTCATTTTTAAGTCAAATCGACTACAAATTTCGACCGTCGATCGACCAGTATCATCGACGTCGATTCGACAAATCATTTCTGGCTGGAGATTTGGCACATACAGACCAACTTGCAATAATTGTACGATACTGTACAAAAGGGAAAATTTATGAAAGATTTTTATTGTTTTTATCTATCCATAGTCATACGGGCTTGTCTTTATTTAATACTTTAAAATTTTTTAGAAAAAATTGGACTTTCTATTGAAAATTGTGGCCAGTCCTATGATAACGCTGCAAATATGAGCGGAAAATATACTCCTTTCCATAAAAAATCTTAGTCAGACAAGATGGTCTAGTCATTATGAAGCTATACCTGCTTTAAAAATTAGTTACGATACTATTTTAGATATTTTAAAAAATATTTTTAATAATAATTTTAAAAAAGTTGAATGTAAAATAGAAGCCAAAAATTTATAAAACAAACTCTTGAGATTAGAAATCTACATTAATATCTATCTATCTTATCTATATTAATATCTGTTATATAAACTGTACTTTGGGAAGAGATTCTTGAAAGATTTAATAAAATTAGCAAAAAATTACAAACTCCTGGTTTAGACTTATGTGAAGGTTATGCTTTAATTTCATCTCTTGAATTATTCGTAAATACCATTAGACAGAATTGTGATGAAAAATTAATTGAGTATGAACTGAAAGCAAGAGGAATGAGTTCCGAGATTAAACAAAATTATAGCGACATAAATCAAAGAATTAAAACACAGAAATACGCAGATGGTGAGAAAGGTAAAGATATACTTATTGTTAAAGAAAGAGATAAATTCGTATTCAGGGAGTAAATATATAGTTAGTTTCATTAATTTTTATATAGAACTAAATAAAAGAAGAGAGGTATATGAAAACTTTGGAAACTTTTGGAAAAAGATTTAAATTTTTAATGGATATAGGAAACAAAACTGTTTCAAATATTGATGATGAAAGTAATAATTTTATTATAGAACACTTCTTATATGTTCTCATCCAGTAAACGT